GTTCATCATATGACGCAGAATTTATGTAATTTTTATCTGGTGTTTAACTCTAAATGAGAGTAGTAACTCTATAATAACAACATGACATTGGTGATAACTATAATAAGAATAGTAATGATAAAACAAGTAATAATTAAAAGAAAATACATACACTAAACAATATAATACTGCTAATAAGAAAGAATAATGACATGAGACTATTATTAATAATAATAGTAATAGTAATAATAATAGTACTCCAGAGACTTGTGGCTTCTAATACCAGGTAAGAGATAAGAGACATGACATAAATTACGACACAATACTAAAGAGGTTATCGATATTACACTGAGACTCTCCCATGACCAGGTGTGCCCTCCCCCCTCCCCCTCTTCCGGGAATATAATTAACGTGGGAGTGTTGAACAGTCCCGGGCGACGGTGTCCTTCTTTCAGAGACAGTGGACGTCTCCTCCTCTTCCTTCTTCCTCTTCTTCTCTTCATTCTCTATTTCCTCTCTTCGTCCTCCATTTCCTTTTCCTCCTCCTTCCTCTACTCCCTCTTCTCCTTCTTGTCCTTCTATCCCTCCTCCTTCTCTTTCTCCTCTTCCTCCCTCTACTCCCTCTTCTCCTTCTTCTCCTCCTCCTCATCATCCTGCCCCCACCCCCTCCTGTTTCTCATCCTTCTCCTTCCTCGCATCTTCCCTCTCCTCCTCCTCGTTAAGCGGTAACCACAACTCACTGGGGCGACTGATTATAGTATTAAGGAGTTGGTAATCTCTCTCTCTCTCTCTCTCTCTCTCTCCCTTCAGCCTCATCCCTTTTAAACAGAGCTAAAATTAGGTGTAGTTATGCAAGTGTTGATGTAAAAAAAAAAATCAGTCAACACCGGGTACCTCAGCTAATTATGACGATAAAAGAATACAAATTAAGTGTTCATTGAAAAATATAGTAACCAAAGAAGAAATTGTACGAGATTCGCGCATGGTACAGTTACGGTGTTAAGTCTCCACCTACTTCTATATACACTCCCTTAGATCGCTTCCCTCCCTCCCTTACTCCCTACCTGGTGAATTCTTTTTTGTTCACAACTGTACATGAACGTCATAAAGTAAAAGGTGGACTGAATATGTTATTTATCCAGGAATTTTTGAGGATTTTCACAGTGGGTTGAAAAGGACTATTCTCGTGGCGGTGTGTACAAGGCCATGTGAGTTTGATGCGATTGTGGAGTCGAAAAGAAATTCATTGGCGAGGAACCTCAGGTGACAGAAGGTTGCGGTGGCTAGGGTGATGTAGCACCTTTACCCCGAACTGACGAATGAGGTCATGATGATGGTTCGAAAGAGTTAAGAGAGCCAGTGTAATCAGTGACTCTTCCTTGGTGTTGTAAAGAGTATAGAGGGAAATCTTGCACGACCTTCCTTGAGTTGTCTCTCTCTCTGGTGGAATATTGATGTGATGATATTAATGATGTATTTTTCCCAGCTTGATTTATCATCTGTAATGGTGGATATCAGGACTTGAAGAGTGTTGGGGCCCCAGTGTGATAGATCGTCGGAGGAAAGACTTGTATGCATTATGACCAGGAGGATGAGGAAACAGAAAGGTGTCATTGTAACACCTTGGGGGACACCGCAGGAGAGTGACTCGCGGGGCAGAGATGGACCCTCGGAGGTGTACAGCTTGGTGGTGGTGGTTGTTGAGGAAGATTATAAGACAACAAGTATACATTTCTCCTGATCTCAATGTTAATGACTTTGTTGATGATTGTATGTGGTTGGCTAAGTCATAGGCTTTAGTGAAGTCAAGGGAGGTGAGAACCACAGAGGTCTTATGCTACTCTAGGTCGTGATCCACAAAGACTGGGAACCTGACGAGGCAGTTAGTGGTGGAGGAGGTCTTCTGTCTTCATATTGTCTAATTCTTGAGGGTCTATGCCACCGATAGCATCCGTATACCCAAACACAAAGCCATCGCAGGTAAGGCTGGGTAGTAGGGTGATGGCGATGGGTCGTACCTCTCTGAAGTGTGTGTGTGTGTGTGTACTAAAGTCTGTTTATCTACTGTATATACTCAAGTCTCCTTAACACATGATTAACCTCTACC